GTGTGTGTGTGTGTGTGTGTGTGACTGGGTGTGTGTGTGACTGTGTGTATGTGTGTGCGCCTATGTAGTGCTGATGTTTTGAATGTCAATAGGAGGCAAAACTTGTGTTGAAAACTCTGCTGAATTAAGATAAGGATCACACAAAAGCCGGTCTCGCTCTTTCTACCTTCTCTTCTCCCCTTTCTATACCTGCTTTGAGCACAATGCGCCTGTTTAATGCCTGGCCATGGTTTGAGAATCATCACTCTTGGCTTCTCTGTTTTCACCCCTGTGACAACCTATTTAGCAGGTGTGTGCCGGTCCGTGGGCTGTTTCTCTTGAGTATCTGGATTCGTTATCAGCATATTTGCAATGATTTCTCTTTGTCCGCTTACAAAGACGGCTGGATTGTATCTTGCAGACACGATTTTTTTATTTTTTTTTGCACTGACAAAACAAACGTGTCTCCTTATCACAGAGCTTTGGCGTCGCACTATTTTGAATAATAATAATTTAAATAAAAAGCGGTGGTGATTTTCTGTAGGTATAATTATTGGAGGAAGTGAAAGGCAATCATGTTTCTTTTCCCTCCTCCGTCCTCCCACATACACTCAGAAAACAGCTGACAAAAATGCAAATGCAAAGGACACGACTAATATCACTTGACAGTTTCTTATATATGACACCGTCGAGCTTTCAGGTATCCGACCGACTTTGAGTCTACGCAGGTTGAACTTCCATTTCCTGGCTGCGAGTTTGCATGTCCGACAACCGACTTTGACGTTTTAAAGAGTGAGGGAGGACGTTGTCGGAACAGCAGTCTGGGTAAAGCCCCAACGAGGCGTGGCACGCGTAATTCACAGTGACACCAATAAGGAAACCCGAGCAGCGGAGTCCGCAAATTCAAAACAAACCCGTGGGGCCTAGATCGGGTTTCAGTCCCTGACACAATTTTTACAGTTTCGGAGGGACTCTGGGGGTAGAAAAATTTGCAAAAAAAAAAATAATGGTGAAACGAGGTGAAATAGATTCAGTTTACCACAAAATGCTGCAAAGTGATCTGCTGAAAAATTTAATTTCGACCTGAGGGCTTGCCACAGGGTAGCGTTTGTGGCAACGCGCCCATGGGCCCCGGCTGCGTCCCTGCAGAATAGAAATAAACGTCAACGGGCTAAAAAGTGGTAATAAAGTTATTTTCAGGCTTGACAGCGTACGCAGCGAGGATTCGAGAGGGGGGTCTCTATGCTTGCAACTATCCCCTGACTAATCAGTTGAATTTTGGAAATAAATGATTGTTGCTGTAAATGTTGCGTGAAAGTGGAGCAGGTTGTGCGTGTGTGTGTGTGTAGATGTGTGTGTGTGTGTGTGCGTGGGATGTTAATTGATGAGAGTTATAGAGAGCTGCTAGTAGCACAGGGGGGATCATTACTGCTGGAGTGGAACAACTGCATTCACGGCTGTTTGCTACGTGTCATACACATTTACACACATATACACACACACACGCGCACACACACACACACACACAACCAAAACCCAAAATGCTGTCACGGTGCAGCAGCAGCAGCAGTCAAAAAGGAAACACCATCCTCTCGCTCTCTCTTGTACATCCTTTTGTCTTATGCCGCAGCACAAAGAGCATCAGGTGGGGGTAATAATAACTCCCTAATTCCACGACGGCTGAAAAACATCCGACCAACTAGCAAAATGTCTTTTTTTTTTTTTCTTTCCCCTCTTTCTCACTCTTCTAAAATCTGATGCATTTGGAAATTTTTTATTTTGGGGTTGGCATGATGGGAGAAAAAACAAACAACTATCCCCGAGGCATTTCCCATCCTTGAGTCAATTTGTGGGAAGGCGGTGGGGGTGCAGCCACTTTGGGTTAAAGGATTTAGGTCACACTTTAACTGACTGGCTGACATCAGAGCGGTGAGACTGAAATCCCGGAGTGGACCTGAATCCACCTCCTGGATGACTGACACTTGAGAGACTGACACTGAGAGAATAAGAGGCGGGTATCTTGCTCGTCAATCTACCACCCTCACCTATATTTTCATACCCTGCATACGTGCCTTTGTCTTGCTCTGTGTGGTGCATATATTAGCGGGTGGGTGCGTACGCGCTGCATGTAATTGCGAGTGCATGGCTGCGGTTCCTTTTTTTTATTTTACACGGGTCTCTCCTTGTGTTCGGAGTTGCATAAACACAGGAGGCTGTGTGGGTGTTTGTGTGCAGGGACGGGGAGTGTGTAAGCAAAATCAGTGTGTGTTTATGCTTTCTGTCAGAGTGTGGTAATGTCTCCCTCTCTGCTGCTTATGCCACATTGCTCCAGCTTTGGAGCCGCTGTCACTTTAATGCTGGAACAGACAGGTGAGACTCTGCAGAATTTTGTAAATCACACAAGTAAGACTCCCGCCGTACCTGCAGTGTGTGTCGAGACATTTTTAAAATCTAAAAACACTATTGTGACTGTCAAAAAAATTATTTTAGCATTTAAAAATCTCAAATTAGCACACGAAGCTGTCCCTTTAAATTACGTAGTCAATGTATTTCAAAAACCTCGATTATAAAATGCAGCTTTCGCCAGCAAGTACGCAAAAGTAAGAAATACATAGTTCCACACACACACAAACACGTAAAGGTTTGTACCTCCAGTAACCAGGGTTTGAGTTTGCGGTCCAGGATGATGTCGAAGCCCAGGACCTCGAAGCAGACGCTGTCGCTCCCTGGTGGCTGTCCGGGGCGACACATGCGGTAGGCGTGCAGCACATGAGGTTCAGCCACTATTAGCGTTTTCACAACCAGCTCCTGGCAGGACACACAAAGAGAGACAGAATGACTCAGCCGAGCCGAAATAGACAACACAGTCTTACGTTTTTATTTTCTGAGTTTCATTTACACTGCAGAGCCATAGGCTGCGGGTTTTATAGCTGCTGATTGAAGGTCTTCTTAATCTGATAATGGCGCAATTAAGAGTCTTGCTTTAATTGCAGGTTGCAACTTCACACAAATGGCAGCATCTTTAGATTGAGGAGCAAACTGACAATGAAGCAATCACGACACACGCCTGACCTGTAACCTGCAGACATGCTGGGATACCATCTATGATTAATCCTGAATCCTCCAGCGTCTCACGTTGCTTTTCCAGTTTGAAAACTGAGGAGGAACACAAAGTATTACTGGCACTGAGCCTTCTGAATTCCTCTCACACACAGACTTTCACCCGTGCTGGTGGTGGTCCATCTGTGTTGCTGGTGGCGCCCAACCTGTGTGCATGTGTGTGTCTGCACGTATGTTTACTGGCTGCTACCTGCCGACTCCCACTGTGCAACTGGGATAAACACGCTCGCTCTGACACACACACACACACACACACACACACACACAGTTTGCACAAAGCTTCCCCTCACCAGCCGAGCCCCACACAGCGCTGCTGGCCTGCAGTTTGCCCAGTCCAGTCTGACTGCTGGGTGCAGGAGGGGGGTCTGGTGGTCTGGCCCTGGCCTGATAAGGCTACACCCCCTCCTCCTTTTTCTATCTGTCTGTCGCTCACACACCTCCATCCATATGTCGATCCGTCCGCCCGTCTGACCCACGGGCTGCCCAGCACAAACACCTGGTCCCACTACCACCATTTATGCCCCAAGTCTCCAGCACTGGCTGCTGTGTTTGTGTCCTTTGTCCCTGCACATATCAGCCCCTTCCTTATCCTGAGCCCCCAGCACTGGCCGCTGCCTCCCGCCTAACGCGTGCGCATGTGTGCCTGTCTTTTTGTTAGCTTTAAGCTTAAAAGCTTTTACTCGTTTTATCTCCTTTATCTGCATGAATATGAATGTTGTTTCAAAAAGTTTACGCATGCATGCATAATTTATGTCATATATGTTTTGATTCTCTTATTCATGGGTTTCCTTTGTTCAGTTCGTAGTACAGCAACAATAAAAGCATATTCGATCACAGGAGGGATCAAATATGTCAAATTGAAATAACATTTAAGCAAACAAGGCCACGGAGAAAAGAGAAAATAAAGAGAATAAGTGATCTGATTAATGATTGGATTTTTTTTTACGGCTTTGGAAATAATTACTAGACCACTGTGAGCACCGTTCCCTGCCTTGTTCGTTGTGGGTCTTGGTGCGTTTTCCTCTTTAGGTGGTAATGGACGCTACTTTGCTGCTTTCATTAAGATCTCTGTCTTCTTGCCATCTCGCAATTCTCTTCTTTTAGATGCTGTTGAGCGATAATTTAGTTTGGATTTACATAAACAGCTTATGCACGAAACAATCAAACATGTCTAGTGTGGATTTTCACATTTTTACAGCTTCAGTACGTCGTATTTTAATGAATCCGTGTAATAGCTGAATTTTAACACGTGGAAGAATCTGTCCAATATAAACAGAACTTGTGTATATTTGTTTTTTGGTTTTTTTTTTCAACTGTTGTCTCTATATTTTTGCACTATCCCCTTAGTGGTACTAATAAAGATTTATCTTGTAATTTCAGACATATTTTATTGAATGCATTGAATTATTTGCATTTTAGACATATTAAAAATTAAAAAATTGACAACAGAATTATCAGTTAACGCCCTGTTCTGTAAAAGAAAACAACAGGTGGTGTAACAATTATTTCCAAAGCTGTAAACGCAAAAGACTTAACGTAACCTAGATTATCTGTGAACTAAAAAAACAAAAGACCTCTAATCTAAGATGCTCTTCATATTTCTCTGAGACAACTTACTGAAAACTCAAAAACTACAAACAGACATGCATTGAGACTTTGGCCAAAGTCTAAATACAGCTTCCGCAGATTTATTTATTTTTTTTTTGCCTTCATGTTTATGTGTGTGTGTGTGTGTGTGTGTGTGTGTGTGTGTGTGTGTGTGTATTAGCAAATATAAAATCTATAACTAGCCCATCTGCAGTCAGACTCTGCGCTCAAAATTACACCCACATACAAAAAAAAAAAGCCTCAGCTTTGCCGCTCAAACCTTGGCCCCATACAGCACATCAATAATACTTCAATATGAAAGAGATGTCAGTGTTTCACATGAAAAAATATACATGATATTCTTAACCCCCACAGACAATCTTTTTGCAAACAAACTCTCTGACTCTCTGACCGTGACCATTGGCGGAAAGAGTCAGGGCTGCCTGCTAGGTCTGTAGGGGAACAAAATGTAAGAGGAGAGATGAAAAGGGAAGGAGAGAGGAGAGTGAGCAGAGAGCATAAATACAGAGTTGAAACAAAGCGTAGTGTGTGAGAGCGCGAATGGACAGCACTAACGCCGGAGTGGTGCAACTTGTGAAGAAAGTGCAGAGGAAAAAACAAAAAGGTGAGAGAGCAGGAGAGGAGGTGGACGGTGTGGCTGAGTCAGAGGGAGACAGTCTGCTGTGGCACGAAGGGACAAGAAAGGTGATAGAGAGACAGAAAAGAAAGCCAAGAAACGGAGAAAAAGACATTTTAGCGAAATGGTGCAGATTACACAAGATGGACGAAAAAAAAGAAAAAGTAGACAAGAAGTCATCGCAGCAGGTAAAACAGTGTCCACGTGACGGTACAGAAAAGTGAAAGCTAATGACGAGAAGAAATAAAAGCTTGTCTTGACTAGAGAATAATAACCAGCGAGACTTCATTTTGAATTTGAATGCTGGTAGCATGAAAGCAGACAATAAAGGAGAGAACAAGCACTGAAGGACCCCACAACCCAAATGACTATGGACAGACGGACAAAGAGTCAAGGTCAAGAGGAACAAAACAGAAAATAAGAATGAAATAGAAAAGAACACGGAGAGCAGCGGCGGCAAAGAAAAGGGGTCAAAAAAGGAAAGGAGTAACTAAAAGAGTGGTAAGACAAAAAGGCGCATAATGGGTATGGATGGGAAAAGGTTTGAAAAAAAAAAAATGAATGAACCCGTTAGAGGAGGCGGAAGAATTTTCCAAACAGACAATGATGAAAGAAAATGAACACGGTTGAGGTGTTTGGATGAGCCGAGAGTCGTGCCAGAAAGGGAGAGCTCACCCTCCAGGAATGATGTTTTCACTGAGCTCTTCCTGGAGTTAAACAAGCTCACTGAATCTCTGTCATAACAAATCATATCAAACCTTAGCTGGTCCACTTGTGTATTGTGTGTTGGCTAGCAGCAAACAGCCTGTGTGTGTGTGTGTGTGTGTGTACGTGAGTGTACACTTGAAGATTACATTTACGGATGTAGTCATGTCTTGTTTGCATTTGTGGGGCGTTTTGTTAGCGTACGGCACATCCTTGCTTTTGTGGACGTACACAGCCAACACAATGCGTCTGCGTGTAACTGTATCCGTGTTTGCGTCTGTGCGGGTGGACTACCCACGTACAGAGACGTCTCCCCAGAACTTGGCCACATCATAGTCGTTGGTGCGGAGGAACTCGGTGAACCAGCTGATGGAGCGCTTGCTGCCTTTGTCCACCGTCTCGTCTCGCTCGAAGTTCTCGTTGTGTTTGTTGACCGAGTAGTTGGTCAGATGCATGTAGAGCTGGCTCTGTGGAGACAAAACGGAATCAAGCAAACGGCTCCGTGAGAAACAAGCCCTGTCCTTTTCGTTCGTATTGAAAACAAGTCCATTTCTTCATCTAAGCTCTGGCAACAAAATCTAATTTCATCGCTACAGCAAACCATATTTGCAATTTTTGTTTGTTGGTGCATAAAAATTACACTCTGATTTCCTCTGAATTCCTTTATTTACTGAGCTGATGAAGAAACAAAGCTCTGCTACACCTGCTTTGCGCTCCCACTTAGAATGCATTCATACTTTTACCTGGTAAAACTAAAATTAATCCAAGAGTGAGTTACAAAATAACACTGAGGGGAGAGGAGAGGGCATCAGAACAGTAGATACAATAAAATTACTGCTGCAATTTAAAAAAGAAAAACATAACTGATTAATATGCAGAATATTTTATCAATTAACTGGTTGATTATTTATTTTTTGTAAAAGAAAATAGCAGATTCCCACAGCCCAAGGTCCTCAGATGTTTTGTTTTGTGTGACCAAAAGATATTCAGTTTAATATCACAGTAACAGATTAATGTTCTCTCAATCAGTTAATCAGTTAATTATCTAATCGCTGCAGCTCCAAATGAAATAAATGCAATACATGGTGTGCATACTGTATACTGGACTTAAATAGCTGCGGTACCTGTGACGGTACTCTTTAGCGCAATTATAGCCTCTGTCAGTGATGATAATAATCACAGCAAACGTCCTCCTGGGTGTTTATGCTACAGAGCACATACCCACAACCTAATGTAAAACATTTCCTCCAAAGTAAAGCGGCGAAACAACAATAAAGGAAAATGCGAAAACATCACAAACTAGTCCCCTGACAAAACAGCCGAAGAAACACAGAACGCCTCGCTGTGCATTCTGGGAATTATCGGTGTTGTGTTTTAAAAGTGTTTCTCAGACGAAGCTCATCATTATCTCACAATCGCAGATCAACTAAATCTTTAAGCCGTTAGTCCCCACAGTTCCCACAGCTCATGGCTAAAATGCGTCACTGAGTGGTTGGCTGGAACTATCCACTGTATAACCCCCGCTGTATCGCTCTCTTTAAACACCATCCCTCACACTTGAAGACAATACATCCTTGTCCTTAGCCTACGAGGTAATAACGCCGTGACCGCAGGCCTCTCCAGCCTGTGATGGCTGTCTGGGAGCCACTCTCTGTGGGATTGAACATCCATCTCCATGGCATGACTCACTCCATCATGTGTCACACACTGAGTAAGACAATACACGCTTGTGTCACGGGGAGGGGTCCAGTGTGTCTGTGTCTGTGTGTGTGTGTGTGTTCATATTTTAGATAAGCATCATGCTTGATGGGAAGCTGTGTGTCTGTGTGTGTGAATGTGTGTGTGCGCATCCCATCATCGGCAACAGACTGTGCTTCAGCAGATGCAGAACCTCAAGGCAAATATGAGCGGCTTGATATTACAGGAGACATCTGGCATGTGGACATTTATGCTCAGCTGTGTGCATACAGTACGTCTGCACGCTCCGTGTTTGTGAACAGCGTCGGGATTATTGTTGTCTGTGTTTGTGTGCGGCGGTACACGCGTGTTGTGATCATGCGAAGATTACGCTGTGCTTCCTAACCTCTGTTTTCCCGTGTCTGTGTGTCTAATTTGATCATGTTGAGCTGCACAGGCCCGCGGTTCCGGTTCATGGGAGTGCATAGCAAATACATTGTTGTGTGAATGTACTTCTGCTAGACTCACCTGATTGGCTGCACACTGGGTGCTGTATGCACTTGCTAATATAAATACACAAACAGCTGCATCTATAAAATTCGTCAAACTGGCCTCGTGCACAGGCAGTACACAGATAACAGCACATATACTGGTATTAGTTTAAATATATACACATACGTCTGTGACTGTGTGTTTCCAAATCCATGCACAGCTTTATCTGAAGATTATGTAACAATGCTGCACATACAAAGCCTTTTACAATTAAGGATTAAAAGGCATTTTTAACCGATTGGTATCTGCTTTATTGAGCACGAACCAAAGAGCGATCCTTTATGTGCACTGTCACACAGCTGTTGTGACAGAAGAGCTCATGTTGTTGCAGGCTGCAGCTAAAGTGAATGAAATATTTAAAATTGGAAAAAAAGAAAGCAGTCCAACAGTCACTTGTAAGATCAGAACTACTTTTAGAGGTGGTTGTAAGAGAGCTGCACTCAGTGATACGACACATAAAATCTCACGGCGAGATCACTCAGGTAACTCAGGTAAAAGCTGCAGGACACTTTTTTAAAAGACAGAAACCTCCTGAGACAGTGACTCTGCCAAACGGATCACAGAGAGGGAAACTGAACTCACCTATGTGTTAAAGAACACGGGTATTTAGCGTCTTCTTAGGTTTCGTATGGAAAGCAGAAAGTGCCACAACTCACCTGTTTGCGATTCAAATCAAGAATGCAGCTTTTTACAACGAGGTTCCCGACCGCCTACGTCTTCGTTTATCAGACATGACTGCTGTCGGCTTCAACACTTTAAAACTGAAACTTCTGTTGTTCGTTTTTAGCATATGAGCTTTACCACAAAGCCGCATTGAGCGAAATTCTTATTTTTATTCGTGCGGCTGTAAATCTTAATCCATTACATCTCCTCCAAGTGGAATTGTGATTGTTTTACTCATTTCGAGCGTTTAAGTTTTACAACTATAATGCAGCACTGAATGAATTGTGATATGAGCTATTTATGAGGAAATATTTTAGTTTGTTTACTTGGCTATTCTGCTAAAAAGAAAAGTGAAATTGTGATAAGTTTGTTGTTTTTATTTAACGAAAATAACATTAAGGAACAGCTTGAATGCAATTCTTTCTTAATACACTGCGGAGTTATTTAGTTGCACATACATTAGACTGATTTAACAACTTTTGAGTACTTTAAATGTGCAACTGTGTAGTGCTTAAAAATGGAACTGGTTTGGGCTTCAGTATCGGCAAATACTCAATATTAAACAACTCAGATCGGGACTTGGTCTGGACGTCCCTAATTACGAAGGGTTTTAAAAGGAATATACCCCGAGACTCACCAGGTTGGCCTCGCTGGGTGCGTGGTACTTCTCGGTGCCCATGCGAACCAGGCCGTCGTTGTAGAGGAAAATGCGCAGCGGGTCGCAGGATGTGACGAGGATGTAGATGCGCAGGTCGAACTTGTAGCCCTCCATCAGGAAGGGCTTGTCCAAGTACTCCTGAACGATAAAGTGCTCCTGGGCTGGCAGCTTCTCGCAGTTGCGGATAAGTGAGATCCTGGATCGACAGAAACTTTATTAATCCTCGGGGGGGAAATTATGGTGTCGTCAGCAGCATAATAAAATATGGCATAGTAAAGACAAAAAAGATAATTAAAAAAATGATAGATGGGAGCATAGCAGGGACCATGAACAAGACTGATGACATTGGCACTGTCTTATATACATGTTGAAGCAAAAAAAAAATAAAAAATTGAGGCAAACAAGATATGGATTTTATGGGTTTCAACACAATATTTCATTTCAGAGTCATCTGGAAAAGTTCTGGTGCGCTACATCCGTTGATACTGGTTCTATTTTCACATCCCATGATTTAATTTTTCCCTACGTTTATCTTTTAAATTCGTAGACGACAACCATAATCGCGGTAGATGCAGTTGGAAGGAGGAAGATGTGCGCTTACTGTGCACAGAAAGATTCTTATGTTAAAGACATTCAGCCCTAAAGGAGTGTGAGGGTCAGAGTCGTGGTGCCCTGGTGGTGTTCTGTGACCCTCGACAGCCACAGTAAAAAAAAAAAAAAAAATTATGGAAATGAGTGGACACCGAACGCCTCCAGTCGAGTTTGAGCTGAACAAACTGTCTGGCTCTGCAGGCACCCAAGGTTCCAAAAAAACTTCTGTTCATTTCTAAATAAACCAGCAGAAAAATACACAAAACAGACAGGTACAATGCAAACAACGGCTTGTCTGAGCTGTGAGCATCTGGAGAACGTAGTCATTTTCTGAAGCCGGCACAGTGCATCAAAATGCTCCGGTAGGTCTTTTTTCACCGCGTGCAGGTTAACAGGAGCGGACACTGGGCTCCGTCTCAGCCTCCGCTCTAATTCATTTGCTTTGGTCTCATGTCGCCGGCACTCAGGTCTTATAAGACACAGACCACTGCTAGCTGCAGTTGTGTTAGTTTATGTACATCCGTGTGCAATATTTTCAAAACTGTGTGTCTGAGAATGCACGAGTGTTATGTGTGTCCACAGGGAGGGGGTGGAGTCACTTTTAAACAATCTTCCACTATGCAGAAGCAACGCGACCGACCTGTATCACCATCACTCATAGTTAGGGCAGACTTGGGCTAAATTGGTTACATGCACAGGCTGCAAGGCTCCATTATACACATGCAGGCAGGCACACAAACACAACACTTGGCCGAGACGTAAAGACTTGATTGCTCCAAAAAAAAGTAAAGTTTGAGGTATTGAGATGTTGTGGCACCGAGCCACCAGAGGGCAAACATTACTCTGGCTTCTGTAATCACAGTCAGAACATAAAGTATCCTGGGAGCAAACAATTAACCTGCTCAGTTAATGAAGCAAAAACACTGCACTCCTGTTGTTCAAAGGGGGCTGTGTTTATGCAAACTCCACGAGGACAAGAGGAAATGTAGAGTGGGATAAGGTATGGCTTTCCAGGTTGAAACAAGGTCTTGGTTCAGCCTTCCTTTTCGCACAAGTAGAGCTACTTGCTACTTCGGATTAATCCATCACCACTTGGTCCTGCCAGCGAAGACGAGCACTTTGCTGCTTATCGCAGTATTTGAAGAGAAAAGAAGTTCTTTGGAGCCTGACCAGCGATGTGAGGGGCCCTGCTAACAGGCAGACAATAAGCTGAATGATGAGGACAGGGTTAACAGTGTTAGTTAGTCGAGTAGAAGTAGCTGTGGAGAAGACGACATGATTGATGAGCTGTGGTGTCAGATAATCACGGCCCACTCTCCCCTGCCTATTTAATTTGGCACTGGAGGGGATCTCGCCTTTTTAAGCTCCGCACGCGCTTTTATTTTGTTTCCCCTTATAACAAGCTGGGCTTCAGACACAAACAATAACTTCATTTAGTTGGCCGACGGAAAAATAAATTACAGGGGGTAGATATAACTTAATTTCCTGCCGCGTCACACCATGCAAAAAAAAAAAAAAGAGAGAGAAAAATCTAATCTCGAGAGCCGCCTGCCGTTGAGTGGTCGAGCTAAACTCATCATCTTTCATATTCTTAATGTATTGCAATAATTCAGCCTTTGCTGCCTTTTATTCTTTAATAAATAAGGGCTTAGTGCAGCATGGAGTTATAAGTAATGCTCACATTATACCAGAAAGGACAAATTCAAAGAGAATTAGAGGGAGAGGTGAGGCACACCGAGCTATTTTTACTTCAATATCCCCACCTATTGGTGCCAGTGATGACAGCACTCCAACATATTTCTTCACACATGCACTTCAGGGATCACATTTTCAAAGAATAAGAAGTCAAAAAGAATACTTTCGCAATAATCATTTCGCAATCTGAGCAATTTCAATGTATTCTGAAGCGCTCCGGGGAGCTATGAGCAATGCGCAAAGCAAAAACAAATTTCAGAGGGACCCATATTTTTGCCAAATATAATATTCTCAGTTCTGCCTCTCTTTTACTTTATATTGTATCTCATGAAGCAGAATTACCTGCAAAACCAATCACACTTGAATCTTTGAACTTGAAACCACTTGACATTTTCACTTTTTTTTTTTTGTGGCTTTGACTTCCACTCAGGTCAAAAAAAATCAAAATTTGTTTTGAGTGCCAAAGAAATTCAAGGTTCAAGAGCTTTTTTTGTCACACGTAACAACTAAACATTCAGTCAGCTGGGCAGGGAATTCGTACTGTGCATTCCTTTCATTCACCAGCAGAGTACAGTAAAATAAAAGGGGTAAACACATGAAGTATTTAAAAATATTAAGAATTTTGCTAAATATTTCAAACATATACAACAGGAGTTACTATGTTATATACCTGAGTCCACAGCAGCAAACGTGTGCAATAAAACACAAATATATTGCACCGGTGCTGACTTTTACATTGTTGTTGCTGCATTATGCCCTAATGTAATGCAAAAAAATAAAAATGTAATGCCTTGTGCAAAGTGAGCATATTGATGAGCGACAAAATATTCACACTGAGTAGCAGCAGGGTATTTGTGCATGTGTGCATATGAACGTGTAGGAGGCTGGAGCCTATCACACAAACAGAGAGTTATGTCAGTGGGAGGAGGTGAGAGTCATTCAGAAGTCTGATGGCCTGTGGATAAAAACTCCTCCTGAGTCTTGTGCTTCTTGATGTCACACCGCCGTACCGTCTCCTTGATGGTAAAAGCGTGTTTGGGGGGGGTTGTTGTGTCCCTGATAAAATTGTGACTGGTGTGTAGATACGCTCAGGTGATGCTTTCCAGGTGGCTGCTGCCGGTCTGACCACTCTCTGAAGAGCCTTACAGGTCCTGCACAGTCGCTAAGATAAGATAAATATTCCTGTTCTTTGAGAGGCTGGATAAAGCAAGTGTTGATGTTTTCACAAGGTAGATGTTAGGGGCATTTGTTAATTAACCTAAATTACTGTTTCCCAATTCAACAGCTTGCTGATCAATTGTATTTCAAATCAAGCAATCGTATTTTGTTGACTGGTCCACAGTTGGAGGTATAATGCAGTTAACCAACCTCCAAATTTAACAATACTTTGACAAATCATACATCACCGCAGCTTGATTCAACAAAAAACAAATACACAAGGATACTTTATAAAGTTCTTGGCCTCTTATTTGGATTAAACAACATTACAACCTCTAAATTTCTATTCAACGCTCAAAGAAGGGTCGACACATCAAACTTCTCAGAAAATACAAACACTGCTGAGGTTTCCAAATGAGCTGTGATACGTTGTGAGACCCTCACTGATGTGAATGCTGAGGAATTTGAAGGTATTGTCCCTTCACCATGTCTGTGACTCCCGTCTTTACGCTGCCTCATCACCTACAACCCTGTAAATCTGATGTTTGCGGCGCTTTTCTGGGTGACTACATTGTCATAGACACTGCGGCAAACACTCAACTTGATGGAATAACTGTGGCTAAATATGTCAGTTGAGCTGTTGTCAATAAACTGCATTTTCGTTAAACTCTCTTGGTCTTTAGAATAGTGTCACTTAGACAGCAGCCTATGTAGACCTGCTGGTAAGCAAACTGAACAGGGTCTATTGAGTCCAGCACATTCTTCTGGATGGGGGATGTTAATGATTATCAGTTTATCAATGAATAGGTGTTAAAAATTTAACAGGTTAAAAATCTGTTAACCGAGGATGTCAGAAAACGTATTGCAGATTAGCTGTAATACCTGGCTGCACCAGCAGGTGGAGCTTCTTAGTGTCTAATGAGATGGACTGCTGTGTTTCATACTGTGGCGACCAGAGGAGGCGGTCGCTCGACTGCACTTGGAAAACAGAAAGCATGACGGTGGTTTAGCTAGCAGAGGGCACCATGACATAGACTTCTGTGGCATAAATGACTTCCAGCCAAAGCTCACATTCATAAGTTATGCTGGAGTCTGATTGGACAGTGTGTCTATTACCAGCATATTCAATAATATCTACAGAGGTTAATTCATTAAAATAATTATTTGATTGTTCACTGATTAGGCTGATGACTATAAGTAAAATAAAGAAATGTTAAAAATGTGCGATCCTGCTCATAACTAACAGTTATTCACAACTAGAGTTAGTGCCACCAGCTAATAGTCCCTCAGACAGTTCACCGTACGTGGTGAAGGGGGTGATGGTGGTGGGTACTGGAGCTTGTGCAGGTCGACTATATCTGCCGGCTCTGATGATTAAGCTCCGAGTGCAGGGCCTCAGTTGTTGTCTGTGCCAGCTGCTTTCTGTGGGTTTGTTCTTCCCAGAGTCTTACTCACTTGTGCATCAAAGCAGGCACAGAATTCTGTGGTTGACTATTTGCCCCTGCTCTTGCTCTGGTGGTCTGTGATGTGTTGTCGGCCTCTGCTTACATGCTGGCTGTTAGCTGTGCCGTAGTAGCCCTCTAGTTTCAGCCTTTATTGTCTCTTAGCCTCTCTGATCGATCTCCGCAGGTCATAACTGGCCTTTTTGTTGTTCTCAGCATTGAGCAAGACAAACTGGTCACTCTGTGTAAAATCAACCAAATCTAAAAAAGAACTTCCCGCCTGCCATCCACAGAATCAGCTGATTTTAGTATTTTTGTTGAACACTTAATATATGAATGTTTTCAGTTACACACACATAGAGTAATAGAGTACACAAAGGCAGGTTGAAATTTTGCACTTTTTAATTTGCATTCAATTTTCCATCATTCCTGAGCCTCGTGACTTCATAATAGAGGAGATGGCAGGGCTGAAAAACACATTTCAGCTCAACCAGATCAATTTTACATTCGCTTCAGGAATCACAATCAAGAGCCAGCGAGGTTTTGGTTCAGCACAATTTTTTTTTCCTATAACCAATTTTGAGCATAGAATGAGAATATCATGAGATATATCAAAGTTTCAACAGCAAAAGTGCAGCAGGTAAATGTTTGAGAAGTAGAGTTACAGAAACAAACATTGGTACCCTTAATGTGTTTTCTGCTTTTTTAATAATTCACTAGAGAAAACTTTAAAAAGTGCATTTTGGGTACATTTTTAACAGTCATACCACCGTGTTGGATGTGGTTGGTAAAAACAAGTTATAACACGTAAAAGGTTTCATTTTTACCTAACTTGTGATACCAGGATCCCTCAGATCCCTCGAGACATTCCTTCTGTGTCAAAACAAGCTCTAATAGAATCATATTTTGACACTTGCAAAATGTAAAATGTAAGATTGCATTTACTGAAGGAATTAAAACCCTGATAATTCCTGCATGATCCTTTTCTGGCCCTGACAGTTGCTGGTTAGCAACATTACACATCATCACCGCTGTTGACAACCTGAGGACACAAGCAGGACGACAGAACAAACTCCCAGAACCAGAACTGAACACAATCGGAGGAGAATCTGAAAGACTCTCAGAGAAGCTCCCAATGCTGCAAACTGCTGCAGTGTAATTAAACCGTTCCATGAAACATGCGAACACCAAAGTTGTTTCCGCCTGAAGATACATTCACCAGAGTTTAAATGAGACTCTATTAGAAAACTGTTTTGAAATGTACTAAAATTATTGCACACAAAAAATCAGCTGATTCTGAGGGTCAGATGGGAGGCACTGATTGATTTTTCATGGAAATACCCAAATGCACTGGAGCGGACAGGCAGCATGGCCCGAACCTCACAGTTAATCCACAGCTTTTGGTTGGCGTACGTCCTGATGCAACAGTGTTGTCAGTGCAACGGCTGATGCAACTTTTTAACCCCTCAGCGTATTGCTTTATATCAACAGTACAGTCCTCCTGCAAGGCAGTCTTAAAACACTTCCCAGTTAGTAGTACCAAAGCAGTCCTGGAGGACCTGATCGGTTTCTTCAGTCTAGATCTTACTTACTGGAGGGGTTTGCTTGAGGATTAGCCTGTACGCTGGGTAAAGGAACACAGGGATTCAGTCAAACAGCCCAAAGTGAAGAAAAGGCAGCAGCCTTGTAAGCATCTTTCACATTGCTGTGGGTGTGATCAAAGGTGTTCTTGTCCTTAGTTGGAAAATTAACATGCTGGTAGTACTTCAGGAGTACAGTCCATAAATGTCAGTCATTAAAATCTCCAGAAATAATGAACAGTTGTGCAGTTTCTTGTTTGTTGGTGCCTGTGCTGGGTTGCATTGAAAACAGTCCACCACAGAGCATGAAGGTTTATTTCAAATGTTAAATCTTGTACTTATTATTGGGTGTTGGATGGTCTGCCTTGTCCTTGGTATGTTCTCATTTACAAAGCCATTCCCGGTTTGCTTCCTTCATATCTACGGAACCTCCAGGACTTATATGTGGTATAATCTTGCTCCCAGAACCCATACTGAACTGGGGAAAAGCCTGTTTAAGTACGCTGCCCCCTTTCCCTGGGAATCATTTGCATGAGTCTTAAAAAGCTGATCTCACTAAATGAATTTAAAGCACCAAGAGCATGTTAATAGTTTTCTTTGACATTCAAGGGGCTGTGCACCGTGAATTCCTCCCAGAGGGTCGGATTGTCAACGCCGAGTTCTGCTGTTAACGTCCTGAGGTGTTGGAGGGAGAACATTTGGCGCAAACGATCTGAACTGTAGGCATGACGGTAATTGGATGATCCATTGTGCCAACGCCTGCCCGGTCACACTGCACTGAAAACACACACGTTTTGTTGGCCAAAACCAACACAATCATCACTCACCACCTGCTGTACTCATCAGATTTGGCTCCCTGCGATGTCTTACTCTTCCCCAAAAAAGAAACTGAAGTTAGAGGTTCACTGTTTTGGCACAATGGAGGAGATCCAGCGTTTGTCGCATACATGCTTGGAGGAGTCTGAGCCTTTATTTGTTGCAAACACATCACAGCACGGTGATTTTTGGTTTTTTTACCCCATTTACCTCAACTTAGGAAGTTGAGGTCCGAGGAGAGGGTTCGGCTATGATGATGCATCCCTAGAGCAGGTAGGGCTATGGGCCTTGGCCCAGCAGCGGGGCTTGAAACACCAACCTTCTAAGCAGTAACCCAAAGCCTCAACCACTGCCCAGTGAAGGAGATTTTAAAAACAGTAGAAGAAGAAGCCATCTGACATGAGCGACCGGTGGCAGGTTTATACTTGCATCCTACATCCTGTGAGCCAAGGAGCGTTCAAGCGTGGCAGGAGCACTGGGAGTGGTGTTATCGCTGCACAAAATGACTACTTCAAAGGAGATGGCAGCCAAATTTAAACTTGCACAGTCTTGCTTTTTACTGCCACGCTGTTTTAACTTTTTGATCACATTTTGTACTCTTTGGCATCATTTTTGTCCACTCATATTTACACGTTAGGATGGCAGAATGTAAGTCAAACCACTCAATATAATAAGTTACTCACACACCTTTCTGCCAACCAAAAACTAAACAGTTTAAGCTTCAAAAGTTGTGTTAATTGCCAGGATTTTGCCTCTGATTGCTTGGTGTGCGCAGATGTGCCTAATAAATTGAAAGGGCATGTCACCAAGCTTGCAGTTTGGAAAAAAACTTGGTTTCAATCACAGTTTCAATTCTCAGGTAGTCAAATTATACAATAGAAATGTGACATCGTGACCTGAGATAGGCTCTCAGCCCACAGGACTGCAAGTATGAAATATGCATTCAGGTACCACAGCCAGCTCATCTTTTGATAAAGAGATGCTATTGAGAGACAGAGTCCCCTGCAGCAGCCATCTTTGTCCATTTTCTAGTCTGACTGGTCTCTGCTGATGGTGCCTCATAAAGGAATCCAATAATCACATGCAGAGACCTTCGGGGAAGGAACTACAGTAACTGCCAGCGACCGTGTGTGTACGTTCGTGTGTGTGTGTATGTGTGCGTGTCCTCCAATGGCGGCGATAACCTCTGATTTATGGAGAGTGTGACCATCGAGGACAATGAAGCCCACAATGAGATTCACCACACCCTCTCAGCTCAAATACTCAATCTGGTCCCAGCCATAATACTATTTCCATAGACACCCATGTCAGGGTCACAAACCTCTTATTGCCCTGTTTTGTTGTGCTTGTCCTCTATTTGCTCTACTGCTAATTTCCTCCTTTGCTCACTCACTTATCTCCTCCTTCAGTTACTCTTGGCTTCCCCCCGTCAGTCGTGCAGTCGATGCGTATGGATTAAACTAGCCTCTGACCTACCCGTGACCCATGGCTCCGTTGGCAGGTTTGACGATAAAGGTCTTCTGCTTGCGTTTCCTGCGTAGCTCTTTGACGTAGTTCTGGAACTGAGTGTACTCGGCGGGGAAGATCCAGGTTTTGGGTATGAAGCTGTACTCTTGAGGCTGGCACTTGATCATTCTGCAGAAACAAAGCAGCATTTTATACTTTTAGAATTATCTTATCGCACAAAACTGTATGTCGCGCTTTTATTACAGCAAAGATGAATGTTGTGCTCGTTGTAATTTCTTGGCTGGACCAGCTGGCTTTGTATTTTTTTTTTTTTTGTGCATCTGTAAACTAAACCAAAGTATTCTCATTTATGCATTAAGACACACAGAAAACTTACTTGGACATGTTTCTTGCGAGGCAGTCTTTCCGGCAGATTTCGCCCATGCCAGGGAAATGGTTAATTCTCTGCAGAGGGACAGGCAGACATAATAATGTTGTTAGGGCCATTACGCCACTCAATTCCACCCCCACCCCTTCATAAAAATGAGCACATTAAAGGCAGCAACCTGAAGTGAGCTTACAATGTTCTGACATTTATGCCCAATTACGGACTCAAAACAAAAAGGTGACGCTGAGACCTTTCTCAACCCTTATTTAGTTTACCATGTTTTTTTTTTTTTTTTTTTTAATACTTTAAAGGTTGGGGAGGGAAGAGGCAAGAAAAAAAAAACGATCAATCTCAACTCAGAGGGGCCAAGGTAATTGGTTCTGCATCGCAAGCTCCTGCAGTGACAGTTGAATGAATTGCTTTGAATGTGCCGAAAGGGGGGGTGGGGGTAAAGGAAAAACTCAGGGTTTTCTGTATTCTTTGACCAAATGAGCCTGAACAGGGGCGTTAATTAGGCTCGTATGAACTGAAACTTGACAGCAAACTCTCACAGTACATCACTAAAAGGAAAGAATTAAAACGGGGAGAAACAGAGAGAGAAAGGAGGGGAAAAAACAAGAAAAAGGAACGCGTGATTATTATCCAAACGAGACAGACGTAATTAGGGATTCGGAAGAGATTGCACAATTATGCCAATGCCGCGAGACGACATCGCTTGTGAGGGGAAATCAAAACCAATTGTTGAGGGACTTCTACTTTTCTTCTGAGAAATTATCTCATGAAGCGCCACAACAGCATTGAGGGAGCAAGTTGTAAAAAAAAAAAAAACAACAAAAAAAAAAACAGCAAATCACCAGTTCTGTGTGAAACATTAGCCACATTACTACATGTTAAGCTGTTACAGTATTTGTAATATTCAATCTACTTAGCTGAACTCTTGCTGCCCCTATCCTAACAAGCCGCGCTCTTTCTGACTAGCCTGTGATTTAATCGATCATTAGTGCCCGGTCTAATCAAATAAGCACTCGGGAAGATGGATAGCTAACACTCAGAGCTGAGGGGGAGCAGCCAAGTTCACCCAGCAGGACAGGGGGGTCAAACAGAGGTAAGATTACACTCAGACCACTACAAGGAGCTCAGAGCGAGCCTTGTTGTTCGGGTTGGTCTTATCAACATCGGCAGTGACATCTGAAACCTGCCCCACCATCCCCTCCTGCTCACAACTTGTCAGTCTACCTGCCAATCTTCCCATCTCGGTGTCGGCTCAGTTGTTCACTCGTGTTCGCTCCTGTTTCCTATTTGTTATCTCTCGTTACCTCCCAGGATCTCAGAATTAAAGACTCTGCACATCTGCTTTTCCCGTTCCGTTTCTTCTTCCGCTTAATTCTTTAATTCTTTCCCATTTCGAGCGAATTTTCACTTTCCGTTTGCCCACCGCATCCCCATCTGCGCTCACCTCTTTCTTTTATTACTTCATTGTTCTCTACTGGGGGCACTCGGTAAAACATATTGCAAAGCAGGCCGATATGCAAAGAGACCCTGGGTGGGACGGTGGAGTTAGAGACGTCCCACTGTGCGGAAACTGATCAGGTTCATTAGGTCCAGCAACCTAAACGGAAACAGCTTCTGTGTAGTAAGTGCACACAGGACACTTTCTGTACAGTGTTTTCATTTATTCTATCTGGAGCTGAATGTGAGAAAGGATTCCATAAATTAACTTGACGAGTGTTGTCTCTGTTTAAATAAAAAATATTTAAGGAGACACTAAAACTGGCTTTATATCTCAGATCACCCTCATCTCTCCCTCTTACTCTGTTCAATATAAGTTAATATCCATATGATTATAAATCTCGAAATACACTTTATGTTCACACTGTTCTCACATGCTAAAATTGTGCCGCTGGATTTTCTGGTTTTTAATTAAACTGAAACTCCAAAAGGTCAGTCATTTGATAAAGGTTTTTTTTTAATCTGCAGGCGCAAAAATAAAAACAAATTAACTGATTACAATGATGGTTTATTTTGTGAATTTTTAAAAACTTCTAACAATCACAATTTAGAGCGAAACATTTAGAGAGTTGGTTTGTTCGGAGCACCAGAGTGTAAGACAGACCTATATCGAGGAATGCTTTGTGCTGTAATGAGCAAATCTGCAGAGAACTTCTGAACAAAAGTGGAGAATATAAAAGAGGAGATTTGGTTTTCTTATAGGAAAATGACTCATATAAAATTCGTAAAGCACAGCAGGGTTAAAGTAGCTGTCATGTTTGTTTCATCCTTTAAATCCTTTCTTCTGATGCACTGCTTCAGCTCCGATGTGTCTCTTTCACCTTTTCTCGTCGCTTTTTTCTCACCTTTCTTACTAATTAGGCCACAGTTAGAGGTAAGCTGTTTAATTTTTAATCGAAAAGGTCAACTAAATGCCTAGAATTTCTTTCACAAGCAAAAAGAAGAGAGGCTTTTCTCACTTCATATAAAATCAAACAAATCTTTAAAAAAAAGTTCCCACCTGACCTCAGGTGATTTTTATGTACAATAACTTTAGTCATGCACAAATTTCACCTTCACGCTATGAATGTTTTCTGAGGTACAGGCCCTTGAATTACAACAAAGAATTCAATTCTCATTTTTTTTTAGCACCTTTAGGTCTCCACACACACAAAGCAAACTTAAACTGTTTGAAGTTTCAATTGTAAAGCAAAAATCAGTTTTTTGTTCAGCAGGATTTTGTCTAAAACCAGCTTCGAAGCATCAATTTATGGGAAATATCGAAGTTTTAACAGTAAAACTGCAGCAGCATTTTAATGTCTATAGAGTCATACAATTTGCCAGAGAAAACTTTAAAAAAGTGCATTCTGGGTAAACTTTCAAGGCTCATGTGTGATGGTGGTTGGTCAGAACAAGTTCTAGACAATGGAAGGATCATTTTTTTAGAGGATCATCTTATAGCCAGGATTCTTTCTGTGTCAAAATGATTTTTTTTACTATAGGTATATTGTGACGAATGAAGCTCAAATGTGTTTTTGTGCCCTGAAAATGTCATGTGTCGATCTTCCGTACTTATGAAGTTATGAGGGTTCAAACATGCTTGAAATTTCAACCCACCTCTGCGTACTTCACAGGCCTGTGAGTCTGAAACTATTCAGAGTGTGAAGGTAAAACTTTGCATACTAACGATATTACACATTTTTAAAAATCTGTTGTTTCTGAGGAGGTCAGGTGGGAGATTGATTTTACATGGAATGACCCTCAAACCTTTTATTTCCCAAAGTTACATTCATCTACTTTGAGTTCATCTGCTCGTCGATCACATCCCTCATCTGAGGCTGTTGGTCTCTGAGCTGCTTCACACTGCAAAGGTTAATGTCTACATTTTCCTGGTCTGTGCAGCATCTGACACCGTGTTCGGATCATAAACGCTCTCTTCTTTAACCTCCGGGCTGTTGTGCCTCGGACCACGGTGTGCTGACTTGACACGGCAGCCATGCGGTGTACCTGATAATTCCTGAGCTCAGCAATTTTCTCATGCTGCACGGCTGAGTCATTCCAGATGAGGTTGGCAGTCTCATCTTCATCCCGGGTCTTGATAAAGTCCATCTCGTTGATGACTATACGAACTGCAGAAGAACACTCACGTTAGACTGTGTTTCACAAAAAGAATAAGCCTTTCACACCATGATTCACTCCAGGTTTACTGGCTGGTAACTGAACGCTATAGATGCAAAACAGGAACAAGATACGACTCGGAGCCATAAATCAAATATTTCTGCTTTACAGATCAATATTTCACTCAAACATTTTCCCAGGCTTAAATTTTGTTTTTGCATATATTAACAGAGAAACGAGTGCAGGAGATTATAGATCAAAACGCTCACAGCAATATTTACCATTCATGGAATAGCTGCAGAGCAGCCAATCGTAATGCCTCTCCTCAAAAAGATAAATTAATTGTCTGTAATGCATTCAAATCCCACTGGAAACCCCATAGTATGAGAGATAGGTGGCAAGCCCATTTGGACATTAATCCAACAACTATTCATTATTCAGGGAGTAATGAAAAATTCATATGCCCTAACGAAACAAGGTATTAATTAATTTCTTGAAAGCCTTCACAAACCTGGAGGAGGCTTGCCTAATGTTGCGTGATGGCACTTGAATGGGAAAAAGATGTTTCCGATGTGACTACATCCATCTGTTAACGTCGGTGGAGGCTAACAGTGTTTTGCTAACTGGAACAGGGAGAGTTTACATCACAGCAGGTCTACGCTTGCGGTTACCAGTAGCACGTTCGAGCACAGCAAAGCTATAATCAATCCTGTCTTACACGTCCTTAGGCCCAGAGCTTACATTCCCCTCTCAGTGGGTGCAAAGCAGATTTCCAAAGCCATACTCCCTGACCTTTAACCTTTACCTGTAGTGCTATCAATTCTGAGACAAAAATAAGACAGGCGCAAAAAAGGTAACAGCAAAAATGAGCCATCCATCTGGCCCTTAGTGTTAATTTCCCTTTAAAATAGCCCGGCACTGCTCTCTGAATGGCCACTGAGAGGGTCTCGTCACAGCGAGCTGACTGACTCACAGCTGGACTTCCGTCTACCTACAGGATCCCAGCAGCCTCCAACTTCTACTTGCTGTTGCTGACTCTTTAGTTTCATAGGTTGCACTTCACCCCTGAGAGCTCTGCTGCCACACAATATATTGAACATGTTAAGAGTGCTTACAGTGCTCTTTTAACCGATCTCAAAAAAAAAAAAAAAAAACCCTCACTGCCAAGTTAAATTACCTCAACAGAGATTTATGTATGTACACGAGGCCGAGCTGTCTCTGTGCGAAGTGTTTTGCTGGACTGCAACTCTTTTAGGTCGAATTTAAGACGTTAAATAACAGCGGCCTCCTTCAAGCGATCCACCACAGCAAATTAGATTTTATTGTTGAGACAACATTATGATTGGATTTGTGATGTTTTGAGGGACTGACTGAGAGCTGTTTCCAAAATTAATATACAATTCACTGTGTCACAGCGCATTAATCTTACCTGCAGGACCACCCACTCCCGCTCGCTCATGAAATTTTCATGAGGAAAATGGAAATATAAATTCCGAAGCCTGAAATTCTGAGGTTTTGGCAAAGCAGCTGAATGTAACATAAAATTAGCTCCTCACACAAAACCAATTATCACTTATTGCGCGCTCATTAATGTTATTAGTGCGTCTCACCTGTCTACGTAGGAAGCATAGTGACTGGAGTTAAACTAACACTTGGACTGAACCTACAACCATTTACACTGTGAAGCCATTTCAAACTACTCCCTTGTCAATGAAAGGATTTCATCACCCATCACCCATGAAAAGAAAAAGCCTCTTTTCATGCCACACTAGCTTCTCAGTTAAGGCGAACTCTGTGATCAAAAGATATTTCATCTTTGCAGACAGATTTCAGTCGTGCATATACCTGCTTCAGCTCCTATCAACATGAGATCTTATTCCCGTCCAACACATGTATTGCACATGTTTATGTACAGTTGTCGTTACCGTACTTTCAAGGGCTTTTTAATACAATTGCGAGTGAGTTACAGTACCGATCTCATATTTGGTGCCAGCGACATTGGCAGTGATGGTGCCTTTCTTCTTTTTGGTGTGCATCTTCCTCTTCCCACTGCTCTGGTAGGAGCCCACAGATGGCCCGTTCACGGGGGACGCTCCTTGATCCTCTGGAGGAGGAGACAGCATACAACAAGACTAGATACAGTCACAGCTTGTGCTCCAGACTGGGAGGGGAGCAGGAGTCTTCTAATATATTTTCCCTCATTTCTGCAGGGGATTTAGTGGGGTTTGTTTATGGGACTAGAATGTAAATGGATTAGGCGTCTAGTTTGGTGTAGCTCCATGCATCATGATCCCTAAATTATGATGTGTGTGCACTTCTACTGTATGTGCCACAGTGTATGTACAGAAATACGCAGCCTAACAGACTAAACAGCTAACACAATAAGCCTGACAGTCCTGGGAGAGCTGAGCCTCTGTTACTCACCTCCATCATTGGGAGGGGAGGGCATCTCAGGGGCTGCAGGAGTGAAGGGGCAAGCCAAGCTTTCTGCCAGGCTTGGCGGGGGGGGGGGGGGGCCTCACAGGGTGCTCACAGCACTCTCCAAGGGCTCGCTCACACACTCGCACCAGTTAGTCTTCCCTGTCTGGGGCCGTGTGGACGCCGTGGTTCAGAATGGCCCGATGGATCATCTGAGCATCTCCCTGGCACCTTTCAGCAGCGCAAACAGCAGCAGAGGAGTCTGAGTGGGCAGGGGATGGAGAAGGGGGTAGCAGCGGTGAGGAAGAGTGTGAGGGGGAGGACTTCTCGAGGGTCCACACAGCCCCGGCTTATTTACAGCCCCAGAGGAGAAAGGGAGGGAGGGGGTGGACAGAGGGGAATAGGAATGCCTGTGGAAGAGGAGAAGAAAAAAAAAAAAAAAACATATTTTACAGCAGCAGAACAACAGTAGCAGGCTGACTGCTCAAGGAGTGACTGCAGTGTGGATCAGTGTGTGTTTTATCTCTGAACTAGAGAGCATTGGGCATGCTTTTTGATGTAAAGCAGCACCAACAGCAGCACGCAGGCTACATCAGGCTATCCGACGCTGGACGTAGCCGTTCGCTGACAACTCCACGCGGCTCTGACACCGCGACGGCGCAAATGAAATAATCTGAAGCCGTGTGATGTCCGCTGGAATAATTGGTATTCCGCGGGATCCCTGTGAAACACTAATGTCAAGTAAAGAGTTTTCGGCATCTCGTTGTGTCTTGTGCCAGCTGGGTTTAATTGTACGGCTCGGAGGTCACTTCTTTCAAACAGATGGCATCTTTTCAGTGGTTTGTTAAAAAGGTGCCCCGGGCTATGAACAGTGTGGGAAATTAAAACCAGTCACCAGCCAAATTCTGTTTATTATTTGGCTGTGGTCAGTGAGTGAGTCTTCAAACCACTTCTGGAGGTAATCAAGCATTGTGGGGACGTCCTGTCAACATTAAAGTTATTGCTGGCTTGTGGCTCAGTGATTAGTGGCGTTCCCACACAGCGAGGAAGGGTTGACTAGGTTTGATTTCCAGTCTTGTGCTCTGGGTTCGTCCAGTTTTCAAAATAAAACGGCATTCGGCACGAAGACTCAGACCGTACACGTGTGTGAATCTGTGTGAGTTTGTGCAGTAATGGCCTGGCAAGCCATATATTGAATTAGACCTTGGTTATAATCAGATTTTTTGGAGTGTCATGGGGATGAGTTGCACATGTAAACGGGCATGTGAACACCTTATTTAGGCTTCTAAACATTTTCTGCTGGTAAAAAATAAAACATGGTGGTTGAAATGTTGACAAAAACCTGAATACTGTTTATAAGAATATGAATTTGCCATGTCCTAAATTTGATTAAAACCAGGACAACACTCAAAAATGGGGCTCTAATGATAAATGCATTCATTGTTTTATTAAAGATCGTGTGCAATTAGTCCAGTTGCTCATGAGGCAGCATCGGTGCATACAGGACTAGGACACAAATAGCAACATACACCATTTGTTTTTAAGTTTTTACTTTGTGAATTGCTGCATCATTGCACCTCTTTAAGTCTCTGAAATTATTCTCATAAAATAAGAGCTCATGATGGCAGGAAAGCAATGTCTCTTTCTCAAGGGCAAAAAAAAAAAAAAGACGTTTAAATACATACACTTTAAAATTCAAAAAGAAACGTGTTCAGCAAGTTTCACATTATGACAAATGCAAAGTGTTTGAAGCTCAGGTGACGTCCATATGAAATCTGCATGCCTTCCAAGTGAGATGTAATGATTTTGCAGAGGGAAAAAAACAATCCAAAAAGTAGATTAAAAAAGATGCAGGGCACTGGTGTGTGAAATATAGTGATATACACGATGTAAAGAGCACATAAATCATAGGTAACATAAACTAGTGAGACTACAACTACATTACACCGCCTCACGCTGCCTCTTGCATTTCATACAGAGACCAACAGTAGCCTCTAGTGGTGAGAATATACAAAAAAAAAGGCCCATTTCTTATCTACCACTGTCCACACACACACACTCTTCTATAGGAGCAGTGAGTACACTTAGGAAGCCAGCTTGCAAAGCAGCCCCTATCGATTCTATCAGCAGCCTGTGGACAAATTAGAATGAGGAAACAATCTGATCGCATTGCTTGATCACTCGCTAGTCTTCGCTGTCAGCCTCTCGGTCTGCCTGCGGTAAGCACGAGACATTGATCCTGGGAAGGACAGAGACTGGAATGAGTTCAGCAGATACATGGGGGAGAGCAACAACAAAGAGTCAGCGTGATGAAGTGAGGCAAGCTGTGCTGTTGACAATCTGCCCCCACCTCCCAGTGGTGCGCCGGCTCTCCGTGCAGGAGGCAGCCAGCAGCGTCTCTATAGGAGCACTGGACCTCGGTGTCATGTAAACCCTCAGGAACAAGGGTGCACATGACAGGGACATATGCAACCGAACACCTACGAACACACACACACATGTGACGAGCGTGCACACACACACGTAATTTAAGGATGAACATTACACACACACACACGTAATTTAAGGATGAACATTACACACACACGCACAGATCCCAGACAAGGGCTGTGATGTTAATCCTAATTATTCTGTGCAATATTGGAAGGTTATTAAAGAACAATTACTTTAGTGCTCTTTCTGTGTTTTATCAACACTGCATACCAGCATCTTAATTGTTTTCAGCTGCAGTAGACATCCTAAATTAAACACAGTGCTTTAATATTGCAATTACGCTAAATATTAACAATTAGAAACAGTGTAAACCTCGTTGTTTCTGGGGCTCGGTTTCAAAAAGAAAAATGAGAGAATCACACCTGCAAATTTAAACTCAAAAATCTCAAACCTCAAAACAGCCCTTAGTACACAAACGTTATTGGTGTATCATAAGGCAACAGCCAGAGGCACTTCAGGAGTACCTCTTTTACTAAGGATATGTTTTTTTCATTATCTGATATTTGGTATACATTTGCAGCAAAAATAGAATTCTTCAGAGCTTTGAGCACACCTGCAAAATTTAAACTTCTTTTTCAAAAATTTCTCTCTTTATGCCTCCTATAAATAATTCGTCAACACAGATTTCTACAGTTTTCCTGGACATCATCGGGGTCACAGCTGAAGCACTTTGGTGATACGCTGACAGACGACCCTGCTAAGAGAAGCCTTCTCGTGTTTTGCTCCTTTGTTTCGGTGGTAGCGGTGGTTATGAACCACAAGATGGCCTGGATTTACTTGCACTCTCTTGAAAGAGGTGAGATTTCAGCGTAACTCAACACCCGATGAGAGCCTCCGTCATGACGTCACCAAATTGAAGTCACCTCAGCTGTAACCCATCCCGCTCTCCCGGTCGGTCTAAAATCTGCCATCTAGTATTTAAAAATGATTTAGGCGTTACATTTAGACAGTAGAAGAATTACAACTAAATAATGTGATTTTAAAACGAGCCCTCTGTTTTTAATGTGATGCATTCACACAAGGTCACAGGATGACCAAGTCTGTCTTTTACTTGTATTTATTATAAGGCTGGTTTATAATAACTGCTGAGCCTGCTGAAAGACAGCAGTAGTTTATCCATCCATTGAGATTTTGCTCCTCCGATGGATTTGAGTTTGCTCTTGCTGTGAATGGACTTCCTGAATTTGCACCCAAAATGCTCTAAACTTTATTTCAAAATTGCCAACATAGCCTCCATAACTCTCGACGTGGATAAAGGCAAAAAAAAAAAAAAAAAGAGCCAGAGAAAACTGGAACCCTTGCAAAAAAAAAAAACATCACAAATCACCAAGATGCCAACATTACCACATGATAATAATCACAGATGACCTTTGCATTAATTATAAGTATTACTAGAGGTCCTCAGGTAAAACTAGTCACGTGCAAAAAGGGCTTTTGTTGAGTTGTTTTCCCTGTATGTTTGTTTTTCAGTAACCTCACATTTCTAGACAAACATTTGTGTGGATAATTTGTAATGTGGACAACAACAAAAGGAGGTTTAGCATCTGTAATCACCACTTGCTGTTATAATTCACAGACAGCATTAGAAAACATCATCACCATTACTCCCTCGGTGAAATATTAACCACAAACTCTTAACTAAATCCCTTCTACTAAATGGAGCATCCGACGTTAATCCTGTGATGCAGTAACACGTTTCCCCCAACAGAGGGAGCCAAAAGCCCATAACAGCAGAAAGCGCAGAGCTCCTGTGAATGCAGAGCTCCAGTGAATGCTTAGCTCATGCACTCACCCCTCCACCACACAACACAGAAAGGCTTCATTGTGCTCAAGTCCCTTATAACATCTCTGATTGTAGACAGTCAGCTCTTCAGGCTGCTCATCTGCATCGCTCTGTTGGCCCTGGATCCATAACAAACGCATGTCTGTCTGTCAGGGCATTGTTATGCAGAGTTTTCCTCGAACAATGCAGCGCAGGTTGTTAATGTGCAGTCGTTTTACTACACTATATCAGGCTTTTTTTTTAAATCTAGAATTTACATCTTGTCTGAAGGGCTTAGGCTACAACTCCTACATCAGGAGGTAAAGTTATTCTACCCCAAAACTCCACCAAAAAATCCTCTTTACCCAGATACGATTGAGAAGTGACATTCTTTTTCTTGTTCTCTAAAACACATCGGATGGTGGTAACGGTGTCAAATGAAGGTGCCGGAGGGAGGTGTCATCACAGCGAAGCATGTGCATATTCTGGGAGTGAGGTGAAGATCGGAGTTTTATTTCCACTCTAGATTATAAGGCAACGACCAGTAGCACTTCAGGAATTCCTACTATTCCTCCTGCTTGCAGTAAAAATGGAAAACCTGGCATCAAAATTTAGAATAACGCAAACTGCAAATGTATAACATGTTAAAATGTATATGTTTACTTATATTTTAAGCAAGTTCAATTAAAAAAGAACTTTTTCCTTCAGTGCTATCGGTGATGTGTAACACTGGCTGGTGGCTGCATCAGAGTCAGAGTAGTTTGACTAATTGGATG